TACTGACCTTATGCTTAGCAGCGCAACATGGAAACCACTATCCCACCCACCCCCCTACTGCCATTGAGTCAATGCCGATTCGTAGTGAGGGCTAGAGAGGACAGTAGAACTACCTTTGGGTTTCAGAAGCTGTGCACATGTATGGGAGCCAACTGCCTCATCTCGCTCCTGTAAAGTGCGGCTAGTAGTTTCAAATGGCTGGCCTTGTGGCTAGCAAGCCGATGTGTAACCCGCCACCCACCAAGGCTCCTGAATTGCCATACAGAAGGTGGTCCCAAGTTGTAGTTCAAGGAATGTAAAAGAAAAACAACTGGTCCGTTCCTATCAACTCTGACCCAAATTAATGCTATACATTGGGATACATTTCCCTGCTCCCAGTTCAGCTCATTGCCAACCCACTTCCAATACTACCTCCATCTCTATCTCCTTAAAATGTTAAATTCTTGTATTCAGGCAGTTGCCCAAGCTTCATTAATTATTCATAAGGACAGAGAGTAGCTCAAAGGTGAACAGGGACTGGGCGTGAAGGCAATGAGTCACTGCTTCACTCTATGGCTTTCTTTTGTGGGATGAAAAAGTTTGACTATATAGTGTTGGTGGTTGCACAGTATTGTCACTGAAATTCATGCCAGTAAAATGTACACATAAAATGGTTTAGATGGTAAATTATGCATGCACACATGGGTAAGTTAAAAAGTATGGCTATCAAATCATAGGAATTTTTATTAAAATTATTAAAATGGAAAGCTATTGGCCTCATCATATCCTCTATTTAGATCTTTGCATCTCTGAAGACAATGTTTCAGTAGACAGCATCATGATACACAGAGAAAAAAATTAAACTTGTCAAGATTTTATCTTGACTAGACCCACAATCAATGTTCCCAGAAGCAGCTGTCAAGAAATCAGAGGCTGTATGCCATTGGACAAATGCACAGCCCAAGACCTCCTTGAAGTTTTTAAGAACAAGTATGTAACTTTGAAGACCAAAGTACCACTGACCCCAAGATATGTTATTTTCAACCACCTCATAGGCATATAAAATTTAGACAATGAATAAGGAAGACCAAAGAACTGATTCATTTGAATTACACTGTTGGTGAAGAATATTGAAAGAACCATGACTTGGCAGAATTCTCTAGGATCCACAGGACTTTGCTCTCGCCAGCCTATGATGTTCCTACATTCTGCATCACTCCATGCGGATGCATGAGTCTGAAGAGGGACTTGTGGACTAGTATCACACTTAGGGACTTGAGTTGGACTGCCCTGGGATATGTTCTTGATATATAATTGCTTCTTGACATAAAGTTCTTTCTTATACATATATAAGCATCACTCTATTTGTTTCTCGACTCAACCTGGCCTAGCAGTTGCTATGAGTCAGCAGTGACTCAACAGAAGCTAACCACAATGAAGTATGGAATTCTAAGACTGAAAGTCAAAGCCGACTATAATTTGTCTCTACCCTCTACTCCTGGCCTTTCTAGTTGTTACTCTATTCACTTTGACCTACAGTCTCTTCTCTCCTGTTCCGGAGGTGCATATGCTTGAACCCATTGTTGCAGTCACTGTCAATGTCAATTCACCTCATCTTTCTCTTTTTAGCTAACCCCACACTTTACAATGATGTCCTTTCCCAGGGAATGGTCTCTCCTGATAACATGTCCAAAGCATATGATACTAAGCCTCACCCTCTTCCATCATAAGGAGCATGCTTCCTCTGAGACAGATTCGATTGTTCTTTGGACAGTACCATTAGAGAGACAAGGCAGATTCTTGGGCAAGCTAGAAGGGGGAACAATGGAAGGAATTCTTGCTACAAAGGGAGGTGGAGGGCAGAGTAAACACAATTCCTTGATCAAGAGTTTTTAAAGGGGAGTTCCTAGCACAGAGTGTGGGAGCAGGGAAGGTCATGGCTGGAGATGAGGGAGAAATGAGCAGCCTGGGCTCTGGTCCAGTAGCTAAAAGTGACACAGCATGTCCTGGTGCACTGCAAGAGCAATGTCTGTAAAAGGAAATGGTAACGGGGGAAAGCCTACAAAAACCCAGCCACTAATAGGAGATCCACCGTTAGCGGGATGAACACTGACTTTTCCATCCAGCGTCCAGTCGGGCTGAGTGTGACCCTTTTTCCTATCTCTGGTCTGAAGACTTTCAGGAGAAAGGCCCTGAAGTCTGCAGTCACTCCCAGTAGCTAGACTTCCCACATTCTTCACCAACACCACAATCTAAATGTATCCATTCTTTTGTAGTCTTCCATTCCTTGTTTATTGTCCCATTTTTAGATTGCATATGATTAAAAATACCATGGCTTTGAGCAGGCGCACCTTAGTCTTCAAAATGACCTCTTTACTCTCTTGTTGTTTAAAAGGAGGTCTTGTTTAGAGACCTCCTGAGCACACCATTTTATTTCTTGACTGCTATAAAAATAGAAAGGAGCCCTGGTAGAGTAGTGGTTCAATTAGGGGCTGTGTGATAAGTAAGTTTATTGTGCCAACCTGGCCAAAAGGAACAGGTGGGCTTAATAAGGTTGCAGTTTGATTGGCAGGCAAAGAGAACTCTCACTCGGCAAGACCCGCCCCTCTTTTTCTCTTGTTCTCTGGTGATCAGACCAGCGTGCAGCTGCTTTAGCTAGTTCTCTGCCTTAACATGTGAACTACACTTCCTGTGGGACAAGCCACCCCATGGATTGTGTCACTAGAGCTTGAGGCTCCTTGGAGACCTGCTTCACCACGTTGCTGGTGTGCACATTGCTTTGAGTTTGAGGCTGATGGATTCTGTCATCTTGCATTGCTTGAGTTTGATATCCCATCTGGGCCTGCTTCACTACGCTCTTGAGCTGCTGATGGTTGGTGACCTGCCCTGCTGTTTGCTGCCTGAGGGAAGACTCAGTGGTCTGCTTCATTGACCTTGGACCCGGCAGCCCTCATGAGTTGAATGACTTCCAGTATATTAACTGTTTCACGGAAGTGAGTTGAACTGAGCCCTCTGTATTGCTGTGTGGACTAATTAGCTGTTATATTCCTTTGTGCTGTATAAACCTATCTATCTATCTAGCTAAAATGTATCTATCTCTCTCTCTATCTATCTATCTTTCTCTCTATCTAAAATGTCCTGGTTTTGTTTCTCTGGAGAACCCTGCCTAACACAGGGTACTAACCACAGGTTCGCAGGTGAAATCACCAGCAGCTCTGCTGGAGAAACATGGTGCTTTCTACTCAGCTAGAGAGTTATCCTTTTGTAAACTCACAGGTGCAGTTCTACCCTGTCCTATAGGGTCGCTGTGACTCCGCATCAGTTCGATGCAGTGAGTTGTAAAAATGTAGTCTCTAGCTCACCTGAATTCGCCTGCTCCTACACAATGGTTAAGCTTGGCTGCTAACTGAAAGACTAGCTGTTTGAACCTACTAAGCACTCTGTTGGAGAAAGATATGGCATCTGCTTCCATAGAGATTTACAGTCTTGGAAGTCTTTTGGGGGCAGTTCTACTCTGTCCTAAAGGGTTACTATAAGTCAGAATCAACTGTATGCTAGTGGGCTTGGCTTCATTTCTCAGCTCATCCAACTAAAAGTCTACTTTCTGCCCACAAACTCAATATAGTCCAAATCACAAATGACTTCTCCATTGCCAAATTCAAGAAGGGGTTTTAGTTCTCAGTTATCTAACTTTTCTGTAGAATTTGATGGGAGTCCTTAGGTGATGCAAGCAGTGAAGCGCTTGTCTGCTAACACCGAGGGAGGCACTTCAACCCAGCGAGAAGCACCGACCAGGAAGAGCAGTTCTGATGGTCTGCCTCTGATAGGTCACAGCCTTGACAACCCGGAAGGCAGTGTGCTCGGTACACATGGAGGCATCAGGAGTCAGAGTCTACTAGATGGCATGTAGAAGTAGCAGCAGGGGGGAGCCAAGGTGATGTAGTGGTTATGTGTTGTGCTGGGATCCTCAAGGTCAGCAGTTTGAAACCTCCAACTGCCCCACTGGAGAAAGGCAAGGTTTTCTATGCTCATAAACAGTTATACAGTCTTAGCAACCTACAAGGGGTCACTGTGAATCTGCACCACTCGGCAGCAGTGGGAACAGCAGCAACATAGCATATTATATTCTTGTGTATATATACAAGAGGGTACCCCCCCAAAAAAATAGCAGAGAGAAAAACTTCACTGGGCAGAGCGACCATCAAGCAACTTGCTTTCAGTTAGTGCACCCAGTGGCCTCACCTGGGAAGGTTCTCTCTGGCCACAGTAAATTATTTTGTGAAAGCAGGTTCACTCAAAGCTCTATTTTGGTGATGGCTGATTAAGAGAACAGCTGTGAAATTGTGTTTCCTGCTCTGTAAAAATGCCCCAGAAAGCATTGTGATGTTGAACACAGTTTACAAGGACGGTCCTATGGACAAAACTCAAGTATATGTGTGGTTTTCTTGTTTCAAAAAAGATAAAATGTTGATTGATGACAAGCTTCGTTGCAGACATCCATCAACTTTCTGAATGGATGAAAATGTTGACTTGCAGTGCATTTGGAGTTTGTTCCACCAGGTCAGACTGTTAATCAAGTTTTCTATTTAGAAGTTTTGAAAAGATTCTGGAACAGTGTTTGACAAAAAAAGGCATGCTTAGTGGCAGATGGGAACTGGTTTTGCCACCATGACATGCAACTGCTCATGCAGCCCTCTCAGTGCACTGGTTTTGGGCAAAAAACAGCATGCCTCTCTTGCCCCAGGCACCCGACTCACCTGACCTCACTATGTTCAATTTCCTTTTGTTTTTGTGAATGAAGAGGAGCATGAAAGAACAGTGATTTTATGACTTAGAAGATGAAGATAAAAACGAGGGAGACAATGTCATATCGAAACAGATGAGTATGAAAAATGTTTCCAAGAATGGAATTATAGATTGGACAAATATATTAAGTGTAATGGAGAGTACTTTGAAGTTGACAAAATTGTTTTGTAAAAAAGTTTAAATACATAGCTTTGAAAAAAATTCCAATTTGGGAGGTACCCCCTTTGTGTGTGTGTGCATCCTTTATGATGTAGGATATGTATGCACACACTTCTGTGTTTGCTTGGCTGTGTGGAGAGGGGAAAGAGCATTTGAAAATCCAGATGAAATCGCTCATGGCGATCCTTCCAAAGTCATACACTCATTCATAGTCTTGTCTTTTATTTATATTTGTAATCTGAAATCAATTATGCAACTTTCTAGTATTGAAAGGATGAATTATTCCTACCATTTTTAGGAAAAAAAGTTTCAAGAGATCCCATTGACCATGGCTTTGAGCACCAGATTGGCTTCCTCTTCTTTTGGAAATGATCTAGACGCCACAGGAGAATTGAAGCAAAGCTCTCACATTGTATTTTCCACTAATGAGTGGACTGGCAATTCAACAGATGGTGTCACGACTGCTAACAGCATCTGATATTGCTGAGGGTCCCCCTAGGATAAAGTCCAGAAAGTATTACGAGGTTCTAGCAGGACTGCAACACAGAAAAGGCCTTTGTGAAACCATATTTTCTGAAACAACACTGCTTGTGTGCCACAGTGAATACAAGGATCTAATAGTAGGGAAGGCAAGAAAAATCCTCTGATGTGTGGCCTTAGGAAAGCAATGCATTGCAAAATACAGAGGCACTATGGCTACAGAAAGCATGACATGGATGTGCTATGGTGGGGCCACTAACTTAAAGGTTGAAGGTTTGACTCCACAGAGGCGCCTCAGAAGGAAGGGGATAGTGATTTACTTCTGAATGGTCAGCCAATGCGTACACACACAAGGCCGCCAGGAGTCAGCATGAACTCCACTGTGGTGGCAGGCTTACTGAGAGGGTGAGTTTAGGAGGCTTGCTGTAAGCTTGGAACACCATCTTTCTTGGAAAGTCTTCACAGACAGTAGGGTATTCATGATGTTAGGAAGAGAAAGTGTTTGAGGATACTAGGGAGGGGGGATTATGAATTATGTTAATTTCAGAAGCCTCTGACAGGCTTATTTTCAGATTTTTTTTAAAAAAATAGAGATTGGTGCTCACTCAGAGTCAAAGGAAATTGTGTGGGGAGGTATCTTTGTTTAACATCTGTCTGTCATCTAACACCGCTCCCACCCCACAGGGAGGAAGGAAAGTCTGCCTGAGAGCTGAGTTTACCTCCTTAAGGGTCTAAAGAGCATTTTCAAAGAAAGGGCAGATAACAGCTTCCTGTCTGGGAGAGATTACTGAGAAACTTTCGGGCAAAGTTCTTTACTCTTTTGGTGAGAATGTTTCTAATTCTGTTCATGTTATTTTTTGCTCACATAAAGTCCAGGGAAGAATTATTTGTAGTTCGCTAAGTAAGATGCTCTAAATACTTTAAAAGTCTTTTCTTCCAAGTATAGATGCATTTATCCACTTCAAAGTCAATGAAAGAGTGTTCAGACCTTTACGCCCTCTCTTTCCATTTCTTTAAAACGACGTTTCCCTGGTTAAACACGTGAGTCCAACGGAAATGACCGTAGATGCCCAATTGATGAGAGAAGCACAAAGGGCAACCATGATGGTCTACAGCAGGGGTGGGCAGATCCGTGAGATGGAAGAGTCAATCCTAGCCCTGACAACAATTTATAACGTATCTGAGTTTCCCAGACTGTAACGCCTTACGGGAGCAGAAAGCTCATTTTCTCCTGAGGACTGGCTGGTGTTTGTGAACTGCTGGCCTTGCTGATTGTGGCCCAACACAGAATACAAACCGAAGCAATCAGATGCCAACTCTGTTGAATACCTCACAGTTTCAAGCATAAATGTGGAATCAAAATGAAACTAGATCCATCAATGGCAGGTATCTTCAGGCCAGTTTGGGGAGATTTTGGCATATATAATGAAAGAATTAAACGTATGGGGTCAAGAGCTCAAACTAGTTTTGACCCTTGTCTTGAGTGCTTAAATGCAAGGTCAGCAGTTCAAAACCACCAGCTACTCAGGTGGGGGGTGAGAATGGGGGTGGGAGCAAGATGAGGTTTTCTAGTATGGTACAGAGTTCCAGTCTCAGAAACCCAGAGACAGTACTACCCTGTCCTGCAGGGTAGCTATAAATTGGAATTGACTTGATGGCAATGGGTTTGGTTTTTCTTAGTACAGGGTGCTGGTAGCCCCCGGGCCAGTCAATACCAGGAGCATCACCTGAGTGCTTGTTGGAGATGGAGACTGAACCTGGGGTGACCCCTGCCCCAAATTTCCACTTCCATTCGGTTGCACCTCCCTGTAATCCTCTCTCTGAGTGTGGGTGGGGTTGTGGTTTTATTCCAGCCAGTAGAATATGGTAAAGGGAGGATATTTTTGCCAATGGTGTTAGGGTCCCAAATGACCTGATTTGTGTTCATCCACAGGGTGATCAGCCTGTACGGGCATCAGCAGAGGATGCGCGCTTCCAATCGGGTGAGTTCTTTCTTTGTCTCTTGCTTGTCATTTAGGACATACATGCCCTAGTCCCTCTTACCAGGTGACTCTCCAGTTCATGGGGCTTGCTGAAACGAGTGATTGGTCCACCCAACAGGACCTATCACACACTCATTCGCACACACACAGGACAGTAAGCTTATTAAACAAATATCAGAATGCATTGTCCCTTGGCACAGCCTTCACTTAAATCTATGCACATCTGCAGGCAGCATTTACATCTCTAATCTTTTCCCAAAGAGCTCTGTTTACACCACCAAGTTACACCGCAGACAACATGGCAGGTTTAGCATCCTTGTAGGACTAAAACTGTGCTCCTTTTAATTGTCTTTGAGTTTGGGGAACAAAGGAAGGCTGGAGGGCAAGATCCGAGGTATAGGGAGGATGGGATGAGGGCTCCCAGTGAAACCCTCCTAAGGCGGCCTTGCTGCCCTCAGAGACTGAACAGTTGCATTGTCGTGACAGAAAAAGAAATAATCGGGGCCACCTTCCTAGCCTTATCTCACAAAGCGATTTTTAATTTTCTGAAACCTTCTTCCTAATAAGTCCCCGATATTATCCTATGTTCTCTGAGAAAATCGATCAACATCACCCCTTTGTCACCATCACCTTCTGAACGGATTCTGCCTTCAATTTTCCTGGCCTAGACCACTTCCTCTGAAGCCCTTGTATTGATTGGACCTCAAAACATTGATTGTCTTCAAAACATTCCTGGAACCATGGAATTAAACTAATGATGGACATTTTCCCAGAAGCTTTTTGAAGTCACCTGATATTATTGCCCCATGGCTAACTGCAAGGTCAGAAGTTTGAAACCACAAACAGGTCTGTGGGAGAAAGCTGAGGCTTTCTACTTCCAAAAAGAGTCTCAGAACCCCCCAGGGGCATGTCTACCCTGTCCTGTAGGGCCATTAGGAGTCTGAATCCACTCCCTGGCCATGAGATATCTGAGAGAGAGCTTGTCTGCAGCCAACCTCTTATAGCAGAGATGTGTGCAAATATATTTTGTTTGGAATAACCTATTCATGTGTGAGCTGGAATGATGGGAGCGCTACTTTGTGACTCATTCTTATGTGTGTGTGTGTGTGTGTGTGTGTGTGTGCGCGCGCGCGCGGCGCACACGTTTATGATATGAGGTATGTGGTAGTTACATTTTATGTCAACTATTGGCTGGGCCAGGATTCTCCCATAATGCGATCTAACAGTGCGGTCAACTCCATGATGGGGTCTTCTGTGAAGCAGTCCAGCAGTTAGGGGAAGAATAGGGTGGAATCCCGCCTCCTTTGTCTGGTTACAGCCTTCAGACAGTTGAGGGAGGCTGCCCCAGCTACAAGGGTCAGAAGAAGTCATCAGCTTCCCATACAGCCCAGGGACTTGAACTGGGCTGACTTACCCACTTCTACAACTGTATGAGCCTTTTCTCCATATAAGTCTCTTTTCTGTCCACACTCATATAAAAGTCATTGGTGTTGCTTCTCTAGAGACCCCAACCTAATTCAGTATACTAATGATTAAAAATAGTTGATTTTATAACCGTGAAAAAAGTGAGCATCAACATTCTTTTAGATTATCACTGAGGGCTGAGCATATCTGACATCATCACCACCACCATCATCATCATCATGTTATACCATTAAAAATCTGAATCCAGCCAAGATGTATACATAAGATTTTTAATGAAGTATGCCAAGAAGGTGACATAAGAACTCTTAAAGAATCTTACCAAAACAAATAATATTAGTGCTAATAGGCTTTCTACTTGAAAGAAGCTTTCAGGTGTACTGTGCTCTCACGGGGTCTTTGACTTAAGGTGGGAAAATTCATTTAAAACTGAGAAAAATAAAACAATGAGATGAAATAAATTCTACAGTAAACATAGCAAAGTTGCCAAAACTAGATCGTTGTATTCTATTTATTTCCTGGCATCTCTTGTCACAAACACATTTGGAAGCAGTCGAGGCTAGAACGAACCCCTGGGTGATGTCAACAGTTAACCACTTAGTAGCTAACTGAAAGTTTATTGCTCCAAAGCCACCCAGCAGTGCCTTGGAGAAAAGGCCAGGAGGTCTATTTCCGAAAGCTGGATGGAGCACAACTCTTCCCGGATGCACGTGGGGTATTGTGGTTGGGAGGTGACGCAGGGGAAATAAGAATGTTGCAGGTCACAGATGCGACTGGTCCAGTTGCCAGAATGTGAAGCTACTCTTGCTGAGCACCCCAACCCTGCCCCGGGGAGCCTTGGACGTGCCTTGATCTGGCAGCTGAAGGGATGACATCTGGCCCAGAGTCGGACCTCCAGTGCCCGGATTAAACTCAGCATTCCAGCTGAGCCACTGGTTCCATCATGGTTCATATTTTTAATGTACCCGGACAGTGGTTCAGCATTGGGCTGCCATTCTCATGGTCGGCAGTTCGAAACCACTAGCAGCTCCTCAGGAGAAAGACTGGGCACTCTACTCCCATAAACTGTTACTGTCTCAGAAACCCACAGGGAGTCACTACAAGCCTGCATTGACTCAATGGTGGAGAGTAGACAACGTTGTTTAAGAAATCATTGTGATGTGTGATGAATGTCGGTCATCAAACAATTTGTAGCTGCCTTAAGAAAGCCTGGGGTGGATCATTTCTTTCTGTGGTAGTTTCAATCCATTTCCATCTCAAACACTTAAGCATATCAGTTAACTAAAATCTGCTCCATATAGGTCCAGCGCAGTCAGCCTCTTCCTGGGATCTGATACTTGGGCATCTGAATACCTTAATGGAGCTGCTAAAACGCTCAGGGAGCGAGGAAAGGGAGATAGGAAAGCAGTGGGGGCCTGCATCTGCTTTTAACACAGTCACCCAAGGAGGCCAGAAGTATTATCAAAATAACTTCTTAAAGGCTGAGGACCAGCCAACTTTGCTGCTTATGGTAAACTGCCCTCAGACATAAGGAAGGGTTTTCTCTGGCAGATACACAAAGGCAGTCTGTCAAGCGAGTTCATAGGAAGCTGCTTATTATTATTATTTTTCCCCCAATTTTGCTTTTCAATGAGGGAGAACTAGTAACTGAGCTATGAAACATCTATGAATGAACTTTTCTTGCTTCCCCGTCCCAAGGATGACCTGCCAAGTTCGAAGGAACATTGAAAGACCACCTGAAATCTCCAACATCGCGGAAAGGCTTTAATGTCAAGACTAGTTGAGGCAGAGATTGAAAATGGATTCCCGACGTCCCTTACTGTCTGAAAGACTGTGGAGCCATGCGATCCTAGGGTAGGTTAATCTCAGACTCCATGGAATCGGATCAATCATTTTCCCTCTACTTGGCGATTTTCCATGTCTGAACCCAGTTCTCCAAGTCAGATGACCCCCTGTTAGTCATGGCCAATGATCACCAACACAATGAAGTGAAAGCTGGCCTCTTTTCCAGGGAAGGAGCCCTGCAGGCAGAGCGGGTTATACATCGAGCTGCTGACTGCAGGGTCAGCTGTTAGAAACCGTGAGCCTGTCCCGGTGAGACAGAGAAGGCGTAACAGTCTCAGAACCCACAGGGGCAGCACGACTGTGGCCTGTGGGTCACTCAGGGCCCCTAGTTCTCTGGTTTACCCTGACATACGCGTTCACATCCCCATCCCCTTTCCTTCCCTTTGTCTTCTTAATTTGAATGAATACATTGTACCATTTCCGAACATACTTATTGTTATTAGCTCCCCATTTCTCCCCTCTGCTGCCATTTATTTTTAATAGATTAATGTTTATATCTACGGCCCAGATGTGTAAGCTAACCAAGCTGCAAAGTAAAAATATTATGGCAAAGTGAAAAAACTAAAATAAGATTTTGTATCTGGAAAGTTTTCTGGTGCTACACATCTCATATGGCAATGAAAAGTAAGATGTTATTACAGACATGTAGAGAGACATGAAAAAGTCATTAATTTCTAAATAAACTCATTTTAATCTGTGGCTCTTTCTGAAAACTAAATCTCTGCTGGTACTAAAAATATCCTTGGCAATTTCAGCATTATGTGTAACTATAGGTTTAAAATTTAGGAAAGATTCCAAACACACCTGAACAACATCCACCAGGAATCTAGGGGAATCTGCAGTGGGCTGGGGCTCTCCTGGCAGAACTGAGGTAGCCTGCAATCCATTCACCATAGGTCGGAGAAGCCACCACAAATCTTTGTCTGCTTTTACACACATAGTGTGCATGACTGAGGACACTTCAGAAAATTAAAGTTTACAGTAAAGGCGTTCAGCAAGTATATTATAAATGCACCCCGTCATAGAGCCCTGTAGCTCTGCTACTTACTCTTTCTGCATTTTTTTCTTGCTCTCCTCCTTATTCAAAGTTTACCTATTAGTAAAATGAGAAAACAAATGGGAAGGGATTGTAAACTTATTTTCCACAAAGGCCACCATAATTTGTCATTCCTAGCAATACTTTGTAAGACATGAGACAGGTTTATCTGATAGTCAAATTGACAAATTATTTTGCTAAAACTGCATGCTGCTGTATATGGCATGTACATGCTGTATATCGTGGTTGTGTCTGCTTCGTTTTCTCTTTGTTCCTTCTGGAAACAAAGGGAGACTTTGCTTTGGAGAATCCTCTCGCTCTGCCTGTGTAGTCGGGTGGGGATGAAATGCTACATCCTGCCCAGATTCATCCTCTAGCACGGAATGATTGGCCTAGTTAATGAGCACATGTAATTCCCCCTGGGTTTATGGATAGGCAAGTGACCTACTGATAGAATTAGACTTAATCTCAGAGTTTTATTGGGATTGTTGTGAAGGAGGGGTTATTTTCTCTGGTGGTGCTGCTAAATTAGAAGGCACACTGTTTTGCCACTTCATTCTGCCCCGTAGGTCCCGAGGCTGTAGTGCTTTATGGGAATAGTCAGCCATGTCTCTTCTTCCTGAGCAGCACTTGCTGGCTTTGAACTGCTGACTTTTGGGAATGTAGCCCAGCGCTTAACCACTATGTCACCAGAGCTCCTGCCATGCACTGTGGAGAATGTTATTAGCTGCAACATTGTTCTAATGCTATAGGAGAGATACACATTTACACCACTCCAGAGAGTGGATTCTGCTTAGTTCATCTGTCAATTAACTTGTCCCTTAAGGTTAACAAGGACCTTGCCATTGAAGCCACATAGAGTCATAAATAAATATTAGTCATCATATATAAGGCTGGCAACAGAGCCAATGAGTTGTCAGTAAAAAACCAAAAGCCTTTGTTCGCATTCCTAAGGAAGACCTTAAGGGAGTAGAACTTCTCCTTTGTCTTCTGAAGTCTTAAGTTGCTACCTTACCCACATTCCTGCAGGTCTAAAGTTACTTCCTCCCTGGGCAGGAAATAAACAGCTTCACTGGCCAGTTTATAAGTCAACTTTGCCTTAGAGCCTGCCTTCTCCGGAGGGGAGAAGTATGTTACTATATGGATCCCAATCATTGTAAACATCCTTGTGAAGGATTCTTTTGCCAGAGCCTGTAACTTTATCAACTTTCCGACACCAGTGTTAGTGTGTGTAAGTGTGTGTGTGTGTGTGTGTGTGTGTGTGTGTGTGCGCGCGCGCTTGTGTGAAGCAAGTGGTTGCTTTAGAAGGCATGAGTGGCACTTTCCCACCCATATGCTAGTGTGCTGGTGAGGGTCAGGAAGGAAAATTCACAGCACTAGGAGTTAAGTACACGTAAGGTGGAAAGACACAGCTGAACGACTTGCCTAGAGAATATGGAGGGGGAAAGTATGTGTTCACTCAGTGCTAGAGTGTGGTCACTGATATCTTTACATGTTTTTTGCACCACTCTGTTCGCTTGGCTTCCTCATTTGTAAATTAACAACAACAACAAATCAAACCAAATAAAAACCCTAAAAAACAAACAAGCCAAACTCAGTCGTCTAGTCCATTCTGACTCAGAAAGACCCTATAGGACAGCGGTTCTCAACCTGGGGGTAGCGCAACCCCTTTGGGGGTTGAATAACCCTTTCACCAGGGTCACCTGATTCATAACAGTAGCAAAATTACAGTGATGAAGTATCAACGAAAAGAATTTTATGGTTGGGGGTCACCACCACATGAGGAACTGTATGAAAGGGTCGCAGCATTAGGAAGGTTGAGAACCACTGCTCTAGGTCTCGGTAGAACTGGCCCTGTGACTTTCCCAAGACTTTAACTCTTTATCAGAGTAGCAAGACATACTTTTCTGTCTCAGCGTAGCTGGTGGATTGGCACCGCTAACTTAGCAGTTAGTAGCCTCAAGTTTATATAACAAAACACCAAATTTCCCAGGTGGTACAGATGGTTAATGCACTGGGCTGCTAACCAAAAGATTGGAAGTTCCAAGTTCATTTAGCAAGAACGTCCTGGTGATCTGTTTCTGAAAGACAAGCTGCTACAAACCTTGTGGAGCACAGTTCCACTCTGACACTGATGGGCTTCCCATGAGACAGAATCAACTGGAGACAATTGGCAACTGGTAGCATCGATAAAGTGCCCATCACCCAGTACACACTTAAGAGTTCATGGTTAGGCTCTGATCCTACCTGAAAGTGGCCAGGACACTCACTAAACTGGCTGATATCTGTCTGTCCTCCTTACTGTTTCTCAGACGTATGACATAAAGCCTCGACACAGTTTTAATTGAATGCAGTCCTAAGAATGTGGATTGTGACAGACTTCTGACTTCTAAGTTAGAATGAAAGGGTCAGCTCACTGTGTGGTTGTGGGGGAGGCCAGCCCCCACAACCAATCGCGAGTTCGATAGGCCCAATTATACGGTTGAGATATATAAAGATTATAATAACATCATAGAGAATAAGGAGAGATAGAAGAGAAATTGAAATAATGGAGTCAGACACATTTTATGGTAGCATGCTCACCTCAGCTTCACTTGGTGGCTCATGTGGAGAGAGAGAGAGAGAGACAAGAGGGTAGGAGAGAGGAGGAGAGGAAGGAGGACAGGGAACAGGGGAGAGCACCAGGGTGAGAGGGAGGTGAAGGAGAGCTTCTTTATTGCTAACCAAGGCTTATATCTCTTTGGGGGGGGGTCTATAAGCCCCTTAATTACAGGTAAAGACATATGTCTCAGGAAGGGGTTGTGCTATAGGTATTACAGCAATGAGAGGGAGACTATATAGAGGTATCTATGCAATAGGAAGGGAAGGTATTGGGGGTACACATGTGACAAGATGGCAGATCCTAGATTCAAGATGGCAGCCTAACTTTGGATGTCACTGAGCAGGTTTGACCTGTTCTCTGGCTCTCCATGGAAACCGTTATCAGTAGGGTGTGAACCCCACCTACAGGGACCAGACTGATGGCCGCAAGCCTTTAGGGGGAAGTAGCCCATTGTCCTTGACAGCAGGGAGTGGGCCCTACCTGTGGTGGGACCAGACAGTAGTCTGGCAACTGAATTCCTTCAGGGAGGATATCTCTAAGCATCTGACCTCCCACCATGTGCTGGCAACCAGCCTCTGATACTGGTCTATCTTTGGGGGAGACAAAGCTGGGGAAAAGTCTCTTTATAATCTCACATATGGTCCCCTTTTCCATTACATTTGGAAGGAGAACCCACCCTGCTGACTCAATTTGCTGAAAAAATGAATCTCATCATCTCGCTACCCTGTTCATGTAAACCTGAGACTATCTATCTCCAATTCCTTGGGTAATGAGCATGTAGTCCATCTTTGGGCCAAACGTGGCGCCAGTGAACAGAAAGTTCAGAAGAGCGGAACTCTAAACGATCTCATTTCCTCTCTCAGCTCCACAGAAAGCTCCTTGCAAGGTAACTGAGTTACACCTCTCACCTCTGGCAGGACTGGACTCAAATGTTTTCAGAAAGTCAATCGTTTCACCCGTTACACTTGAGCGTCGTTCTGATTAAGTGCCCTGGAGTCTGTTTTGACTCAGAGAAGGAAGAAGCTGTCTGTGTCCGAGGAATTAGCCACGGAAAACCTTATGGAAACTCTTGATTACTGACTGTGAAACCTGCTTCTCTGTTTGCCATGTAAGACTGACTACCTACTGGGTCACCACTGGGCTGCTCACTGACAAGGTCAGCAGTGGGAACTCATCAGCTGTTCTCCAAGAGAAGGATGAAATGCTCTGTTCCCATAAAGACGTATAGCCTTAGAAACCAACAGGGGAAGTTCGAGTCTACCCTGTAAGGTCGCTAGGAGTCAACATTGATTCGATAGCAGTGAGTTTGATTTGACATTTTCTACTACTTTATCTTCCTGGTGGGTGATCTAATTTTGGTTTGATTTTCTA